AATTTAGCATGGATCTTTTAGAATGCTTTGTAAAGCGTGTTCCTCGGTGAGCTCATCGGCATTTCCGTACATCTCCACACAGTCTCTGCTTTCTCCAGGCTGGAGTCCACTTTAGCTTCACGAGAGAAAGTAATTAGATCCGGATTCATGTATCGGGTATTCGGGTTTCTAACATATGGATTTATTTCACTGGCTTTATAATATGAGTTTGCTATTTTTCATCTTAAAAAAATAATTAATCTCAAATCTTCGGGGTTTTTTATTCAAATATTACTTATCAGAAAATTAATACTGAAAATAACATCAGTTTAAAGTTATTTTTAAGATCGACACTATCATATATAATTGCATGAGGCGAATAATAACGGTAACTTATATGTATTAATTTTATCTTTAGTGACTTAATAAATAGATGTTTAAAAATATTATATTTAAACATTTGAAAAATTACATATCTAAACAACATAGAATTGAGACGAGTGGGAACAATCGCCCCTTGAAATTTAAAATTACTATATATATATATTCTATTAAAAAAATCTATTTTCACCTTTGGAATTTAATAAATTCAAGTTCATACCGCTAACATAAAATTTTATGTATATCCCCAGTGAGATTTGAGGAACCCGTAATATTTGTAAGACTTCTCGAATTCCATATTTTGTAGATATGAGACTTCTTAAATGTTTATATATATTAATGTTATTTTCGTAATTAATTTTTGTTTGATGGTATTAGAATAAAGATCTCAAATCTTTAGTTATAATATTAATCGAATAAAACGTTCAACGAGAAAGTTTTTAATGATTAAATAAAGACAATTAAGATCTCGATAACTATATACATACTTATATACATTATTTTTGTAGAAATATGGAGTATATATATTTATAAAGTCACGTCTTGTTCTTCTTTCTACATCTTGAGAGATCGTAATCTTTATTGGTACGAGTCGTCCTCTATGAATAGATTTATTTCTATGCTTTCTTAATTGTTTAAAATTATTAATAATCACTTCCAATTCTACAGAAAATGCTACGTGGGATTTGAAATCATGAGGTGAAACGTCATAATCATGTACTTAATTGCATACTTAACGTGTGTTTAAACATCGCATCTAATTTTGGACAATCGATATTTTATTCAATCCATGGAAATGAAGGATATTCTCTACATACCAATGCTACTTGCAAGATTAGGTGTTGATTTGACTTGAAATTGCTAACCGAATCCTTGGAAATAGACTTTTAAGCGGCAGCAGTTAGATTAAATATGGGCTAAAACATAAAAATGTTTAAATTCACATGGGTTATATGCATATACATACAATTAATTTCGTTACGCAACGCATTGGATATTTATATTAAAATAAAATTTTAATAATTGAAGCGCCGCATTTATTAATATTATTATATTTATAATGTATATAAATATTCGAATCAATATGATATATTTACTATTATGATTTGAAATGATAATTTTATGAAAGTTCTAAAATATGTAAAGCAGATTAAGTGAATCCCTTCTAAAAACTTAAATATATGTTAAATATTCAAAAAGTAATTGAATAAAGTGAATTATAATATATAATAATATAAACTCATAAATAATATAGAATTTTTTTAAATAGTCTATGATGGTTATAAGATAATATCAATTTATTATATTTTTGAGTTATTGACAACATACCATATAACTACTTAAATCTAGTATCCCTCGATACAAGAATTGTAGTTTAAATATTTGTGTTGTTGTTAGCTTTTCATTGCTATAATGTATGCACATTAGATTATTCATTAATATAGAAACATCACAAGTTATATTGGTGTATGGGCTAATCAAATAATAGTATAAAATAAAAGATTACGACACTTGATAGCAGACCTAATAGTTGGTTGCCGTCGCTAAGGGATGAGAGGTCGTATATGGAGTCCTGATGGGGGTTGAAAACCATGACGGGCATGGAATAATGCCACAAGAAGTATTAGAAACTGGGCGAGGTTGTCTCATGGGGTCTCATTTTGACGAGGAAGTAGTAGTGATGGTTACAGGCACTACTGATCCCCAAGCACTAGTCAAAACGTTAATAATATTAATGGAATGGAGATCCAAGTGCCTGCTGGACACCATAAAAGCTATGTATAATCACGAATTTGTTCATGATGCACTTAAGTCTAAAGGTTTCATTGTGGGGATTTTCTGCATAGATAAAAACTCGAACCTGAGACATTTCTTAAGCGACATTAAGCGACTTACTACTTGAATCAACCCCACCGGTGCTAATCAACGTTTTCGCTCAAAATGGAATAAGTGAAAGATACGAGTTTTTCAGTCTATTTCAGCAAATATTGCCTCCTAACAGATGTTAGTGTTGATTGGAGGTGATTTTAATACTGTAAAAGAAGAGTCTGGGAGGATTGGAGCCTCTATCTCCTTATCTCCCTCTTCGTTGAGACATTTTAACAATTTTATTTAAGGGAAAGGGTTAATCGATTTACCTCTAATCGAAAGCTCGTTTTCATGAAGCCGTTGGGGTACCTCGATCACTGCTAGTAGACTCGATAGATTTCTATTATCACCTGAAGATTTATCGTGCTTTCGAAACTGTGTTCAAAACTCTCTACCGAAGAGCCTATCGAATCATAATCCAAATATTCATCAAACACTGAAGCCCTCACCCCTTTTAAGTGGTTCAACCATTGGGCAGATGGTCAAAATTATGTTGGTTTAGTCAAGGAAGTTAAAGTCTTAAGGAAGAGACATCTCTAAAGTGCTAAGGAACATTAAAACAGCTTCGAAGTAATGGATCAAAGTATCAAAAGAAAATATGACAGGTTTCATAGGCAAAATAGAAGACAAACTTGCCTCTCCCAAATCAACTATACTGTCTGTTGGGAGTAATCTTTCTATTCCAACTGAAGTGAAAAGTTTGAGGGCAACTCTATGGATAAAGTACAGAACCAAAGAAAGAGAGTGGTTGCATAAGTCGAGATCGAAATGATTTCAAGAAGACGACGAGAACACGAGATTTTATCACTTAACTGCCTCTATCCGAAACAAGAGGACCACATTAACACTACTCAATTGGGAAATGCCACACTTTCTGATCTGAAGCTCATCACTACCACATTTGAGAACAAGTATCATTCGATGTACACTGAAGTGCCCACCATCGTAATGTCAAGTTTAGAAAGCATCCGTAAGAAACTAAATCTCGCATCTGTTATTGCTCTTGAATCTCTCTTCTCTTCGGAAGAGGTATGTGCAGCTATTAAAAGGTCTGATGGAAATCGAGCTCGTGGGTAGAGGTGCACAAAAAATCCGAATATCCGATTTTGTGCAAAAACATATCTGAAACTGGATTTGGGAAAAACCAGTTTTTTTTTAATCGGATCGGATATTTTAAAACCATATAGTATAACCGGTTTGAGAAAAAATTGGACGACCGAATTTTTTACCGGATTAAAAACCGGTTTTTTATCCAAAAAATATCCGGTCTGGGGTTTAAAAACTAGCTTTGAAGGATTATTTGGATGGAGCGGATTTTTTACCGGATTAAAAACAGATTTTTTTCAAACCGAAATCGGTTACATCATCCGGCCCTCCAAACCGGTTAGAATCCGAACCGATTTTTTTAAAATCTGGTTTTTTGGCTAGGTGAAAAAACCGGATCGGTTTTTATCCGATCCAGATCGGATTTAAATCCGACTTTGTGCATCCCTACTCGTGGGGCCGACAATTTTAATCTAAATTTCTATAAGAAATTTTGTCCCGAAATTAGAGATGAAGTAATTAAATTTTTTGAGGATTTTCTTAAAGGTAAGGTTATAGATAAGTCGATCAACCATTCCTTTGTTATTCTACTTCTGAATATCGAAGATTACAGGCCTATATCCCTTGTGGGCAGCCTATACAAGATTGTAGCCCGACTGCTTTCGAGTAGATTATCATCATGCATGCACGAAATAATAGGAGATTCTTAGTTTGCTTTCATACCTAGGAAATAAATTGTGGATTGTCTTCACATCGCTAATGAGATCATCGATGACCTGAATCAGAGAAAAGGGAAGTCATCATTTTTTAAGTCGATTTCAGGAAAATTTATGATACTGTCGACTGGATGTTCTTGGATTTGATCTTGCAAAAAAAAAAAAGGGTTTCAGAAAAATATGGAGAAAGTGGATAAATTTGTGTCAACAACTTCTCTATCCTTGCTGATTACAAAGAAATTCAGTTTCAAGCAGGGACTTAGACAAGGGGTTCCCCTATCCCCGCTCCTCTTCAATTTGGTTGGAGAAGCTTTGAACGTCTTAATCCACCAGGTAGTGTCAGTAGAGTTGGTAAAAGACGTTCTAATTGGAGATTATGGGATGGGAATTTCACACTTACAATTCACGGATGATCTAATTATTTTTGTTGAGGCAAAGGAAGAATACGTGTGTAATACTAAACTCATCTTGAGGATTTTCGAGCTGATGTGCAGAATTCTGGGGTTCAAGATTTGGCAGTCTCAATAAAACTACAGCCTCGATCATTTCGTCACGACCTACCTGGGCCTCCCTCTCGGTTACCATTACAACTTCGTTGCCATTTGGAGACCAGTCATAGATAAAACAGTTTGCTCAATTGGAAAAAAAAAACTAACATGGCTGCCTAATAGAATATTGTTTTTCAGGTTCTATTAATCTTGAATAGAAATGTACACGAACAACAATTAAGTTGATACGAAAGAAGTTTAAAAAGAATACGAAAACTATTATTTGAAATTGATGGTCGCTTCCAATCAAACAATTTCTTGTGGGGGTAATTTTTTTAACGATTGTGCATAAATTAAAAAATGTCAACAAACCCATGTTTTATCTATTAATTAAAATACCTTTAGATATATTAAAATTTTAATTATAGACACTAAAACTGATATAGAAAAAAAACATTTTCTCTAATTTTAAATATAGACAATTGAATGGCTTAATTAACAACTCCACTAAAAGAGAAATGGGAAAATATCATTTTTTCCCTTTAGGAATTGATCTTTCTCTAATTTTCATGAACTATAACATATTTTCACCACTGTTTTGTGGCAGAAAAATAATCTCAGATGCTTGAAAATAACCCCTTTTATTAACTTAGTTTGATTTTTCACCGTCGACCGATGATTGCGGAGCAAAGCTCCCCTGGTTCCCGAGCCACTAACTGACCTTGGCCCATCACCAAGGATTTGTACATCTCAACGATCATTTTGTCGTCGTACTCTTTCACCGGACGCTTCCCAAAGGCGGCGATCCCTTGATCCGCTACGCCTCCTCTGTACCCACTACTAACCATCCTGGAGTTAGCTAAACCCAGCATCATACTCACGTACGCATCCCGTAGCCAGACGAAGCACTTCTTGGGTGACTTTATTCTCAGCTTTGCCTTGATCCTGATCCTCCAGAACCTCTTTTTCCGGAGCTCCAACCTGCTCCGCCGTGATCGAGTCGAACCATTTAGCTTCACGTAGCCTCTCCTCTTCCAGTATCCTTTCAAGCCGTTGTACATGGTCGCCGGAATACCTTCCCTCTCTGTTTCACTCTGTTTTTCTTTTCATCGAGAGAAAAGAGAAAAAGGCGGAAGTGGGTGTGAGATTGAAGAGGCTGATAAATTTGGTATAAGCTTGATAGCATATAATTAAATATATATTTAGAGAGGAGAAGTGTTAAATATGTAGATGGAGGGTAGTGGCGATCATAAATGAGAGAAGTAAATACGTATCGGCATTTCTGGCGGGTGTCGCTCTCAATATTCAATGCGTGTGGACATTCCACGTTTCCATCTCCACATTTCTCTTCCATAACAAGGAAACTTTGTGGCTGTCGGCAGTCAACAAACAATATCATATGGTTATAACCAAATAAGGAAGGATCGATGGTAGTAAAAAGGGTCCAATATCAACACTAAAAGCAGCAATTAATGTTTCCATTCAAATTACATTGAAAAAACATCAGTTGATAGAACCCAAGAATTGGGAAGCAGAAGCAAATAAAATGCCCATCGAAGGAGCATTTCCGCCATCATGATATATTTTAAGCATATCTACATAAAACAAAAAAGAAACCCCAACATCATCATCAATCCCTCGGCTACTTTTTAGTCTTCCTCTTCAATCCCTCTGGGGTCTTAAACTGACTCAAACGTTTCACTTTGGAACCGGAAACCGGCTTCTTCTTCTTCTTCTTCACGTCCTTTTTAAGAGCATCTGGGGTCTTAACTTGACTCATCCTCTTGGTCTTGACGCTTTTCTCGGTTACCTTCTCTGCACCCTTTTCTTTGGGCTTTGGGGACTTGTTCTTAGCAACGGTGTTTTCTTTTTTCTCGGTATCTTTGATAGCCAGTTTCAGCTTTTCAGTCGAGGAGATCTTGTAGAAGTTCTTGTGTTTCACAAGCTTCTCGGATTTCACAAACTTCTTCAACTGAACCGATAGTTGTTTCTTGAAATTAGGAGGCAGCGTTTTACTGTACTTCTCCTCGATGAACTTGGCTAGACCCTGTCCGGTCCTTTAGGGTCGATATTGCATCACAAATCATCTGCAATTACAAAAACATAAAATAAAATGAAAAAGAGAGAGAGAGAAAAGAGTTGAAACGTTGAAAAGGAAGAGGGAAACATGGGACCTCAAGGTAAGGAGGATGGGGAGGCTTGGTTTCCATTTTAGTGGAAGCAACTGCTGGTTTTGCCATTGTTTCTGAGTGTTATCTTCAGATTCTGATTTTTTTTTTGGGGGGGGGGGGGGAAAGGAGGAGATATAATTATGGATTTGATTCAAAATTATTTTAGGCGGGATTTGTTTTTATTGTGGGGTGTGAAGCCACCTGCCAACTCCAAGTGCTAAGCCGTGGGATTGATTTTACGCTTACCATATCTGACCCTTCTCTACGTGGCGATTATCACTCTTCGCCACGTGGGTTGATGTGCTTTCTGCCATTTGTTTTTTTTTCACGTGCAAAGCAAGAGAAAATCTTTATCCTGGATAAAGGTTGTTAATGCTATTAACCAATTCAATTAGAAAAAAATTATATATATATGAAATTTTTTTATTACTATAGATTCTATATCATGTGAGTAAATGAATTTTTTCTAATAGAAACATTTAGTAGTAGTATTAAATAGTAAAAATATCTAAAATTACAATAAGATTTTACAAGTATCCTCGTAAACTAAATAGGCATTTGAATATTTTCTTATAACATTGAAACTAACCACTTTAGATCATATAAGGACTATACATGGAAAAAGTTAAAAACTCAATCAAAAGACTCGAACAAAAATAGATACTATTGAATATGATATTGTATTGGCAAATAAACCACAAAAGATAAATAAAACTATTGAAAGATCACTAAGAACTATAATTCAGAGTTTAGCGCCGTGAGAATCTATCTACGAACACAAACCCGCACATCCAAATTCAATCTGAAGGTCTATAAAAGGGAAGATCAACAAGATTTCAAATAATATACATCTTAATCAGTTGGGACGTCATTAAATTCAACCTTTATAAAACATAAATAAAGAACGATAGAGAGAAAAAAATGAAAAATGTGTCACAAATGTAGAGATAAATGTGTCTCAATGATAGATAAACATACCACAAATGCAGAATTACTCTTATTAAAAACTAAAAAAATAAAGAGAAAAGAGAATCGACGGTCTACAACCAATATTAAAACTGGTATTACTATTGACTAAACAAAATCAAAGAAGAATAAATTAATATGGTCTATAAAAACAATACAAACTCAAAGAAAAAAAAGGGGGGAATGGGAGTGGCTAAGTTTACATCATTTTGATTAAATGAAATTTAAAAAAATTATAATTATTTTTCATAAATTACTGCACATAAAATAATAAAAGAATGTTACTAATATTGGTATCGAAATCATTGAGTGCAAAAAATATAGTTTTGTATTGATACCGAATTGTCAATAATTCAATTTTAAACCTCTAACATATATATTTTAAGGGGGTGTTGATAACCTATATTGTAGTGTCGGGATCAATAGGTCTAGAAGTCTAAAAAATCACAAAAATTTCGTCTTCAAATAATTATAATTCATCCCAAACAATAAAAAGAACAATTAAAAACACATTCCTCGCTCTATGAAGACTTCAAGAAAATTACTAAATCTATCTAAACTTAAAAGCATTTAAAATATTATGTGATTTCATTAACTTTAATTTTCATTGATTCGAAATTAGAGAAAATATCAAATTTTAATATCTCTCAATACATTTTTTTCAACAAAAAAAATTTATAAAATAGAAAAGTGAAAAGAACCACAATTTTAGAAACAAGAATAAAAAATAATGAAAATTTCAAAAAAAAAAATTAAATTTTTGGGTGCATATATTAATTTTATATTATAGATGTTTTATTATTTCTGAAGTTTTTATTTATAAGAGAAATTAATATTATAATAAATAAATTTAAATTTATATATCTACGATAATATTAATTTAATTTATTAATATATATTAATGTAAAATTATAACAATTCAAAAACATTTTTTCTTCAAATAGTCTAAGAAGGTCAAATAATTTTATTTTATTTTAATTCAAAGGACGTAAAAGTAAATTTCTTTCCAAGTTTTGGGGCCATGACGTCATGATGAGTCCTCAAATCTCTGTTGGGTTTAATCCAATTTGAATCGTTCTACTTCAGCCAGCGAACTCGAACAACCTTATTGGACTTGGATTTTATGTTGGGTTTTGGAGCTCACATTAATCTATGTCACCTTTATATATTTATATTATTATACATCATGTTACTCTATTCATTAATTTACATATATTAACATCTTTCAACCCTAAAGCTTCAAGTATGCATGTTACCTCCACTGAGACCGTTCATTTATCAGTACTATAAAATCAAGACATCATGCGTGGTTCATTAATTTCTCCGAATCCGAGCATCTACAATTCTTAAGACGATTCTAGACAGCCAACTATCTAGGAACTTTCCACCTCCAAAAGGATCATTAAAGCAGAGAGCAATCAAGCCGGTTCGCTTTCAAAGATAAATCTCAGCATCCCATCCGAAAATTAAAGATGCCCTAAAAGCTTTCGCCATTACGAAAAAGCCTTGTTAAGAGCGCTACAGCTAGGGAATATATGCAAAGTGGACGTTGCATGCCCATATGACGATATATATAAGATGACTATTCAACGGCAGATCTAGAATTATTTTTCAGGGTAAGCACATATGTATTAATAATAATAAAAATTCGTATGAGACGGGCATAAGTAAAATTTAAGGGTGGATACCTTCAGTAATAAAAAAATTTGAATTTGTGAGCACAATAATATTTTAGAGTGGGCACATTCAATAAAATGAACAACTAGTATAAAGGAATACGTTCCCACCCTAGGATGTACATGCATCCGTCAGTGACTATTATCGTAGTATTAAATTACGATTGCAACGTAATATAACGGTTATATCATAACGTTTTCAAGATTATTACGACATTATAAATCGCATTCATAAAACCATAACTTAAAAATACAGTTATTTTGAAAAAATAATTTGTATCGTAACATCTATAACACCTGTAACGGTCACAATCGCAACATCAATTACAATGGCAATTTATACAATAACAGCGATATAAAATTCGAAAACACAAGCAAGCAATGTAATATTTATTTAGCTAGCTTTGGCATTTTTCTGAAGTAACAAGATATCCAAGCAGATTAGGAGATGTCCCTCGAGGCTTCGACAAATTTGGTAAACCCTAGAAACGCAGATGAACAACGGAGAACTATTGCAACAATTACAATTAATGTATAAGCTTAGCCGAGAGTAGCCGAAAGGATTAGAAGTATGACGGAAACAAAAAGCTTGAATCCCGCGTGAGCGGTGCTAGCTGCCGAGTCAGAAGTTGGCGGGTACTGGACGCCATAGGGTAAGTAAGGAACCACTTGGTTAGGCGGCGAATAAACCCCTCCTCCAATTACTCCTGGCTGCACTGGTGTTAATGGCGTTGTTGGAGTCTGACATGCATCACAAGGCGGCGGACGACATCCAGAGCAAGGTGTAACACATGAAGGGCAAGCTGGCGGTGAAGGCTTCGGTTTTGGTGGCGGTGGCGACGGCTTTGGTGGTGGTGGTGGTGGGCATTCAATTACCACCGGCGGCGGAGGTGGCGGTGGATATGGAACGGGAATGCAAGTATCGCATTTTATTACTTCTTTGGATGATGTTGTGGTTGTCCTTGATGTTGCCGAAGTGAATGAGGTGAGAAGTAAAGCGTAAGCAGCAAGTAACATTTGCATGCGATAAAACAATGCCATTTTTTAAAGCTTTGATGAATTTTTGTTACGAAAAAGGAGCTTAGAACGTAAGGCTAATTACAAGGAAGAAGACGAGCACCACCGATAGAGGAAGATAAAGGGAAAGGAGTGCATGTGTGTATTGGTGAGTTGTGACCGCAAGCATTGTTTCTTACTTTATATTCTATGGCTCCTTTATCGAAATGACTTTTTTAGAAAAAAAAAATACCAAATATTGAAATCGCTGACTTTATTTTCTATGGCACCATTATTAAAAGATTTTTTTAAAAGAAGAAAATTACCAAAAATTGAAATTGCTGAAAGAAATAAAACCCTAGTCCTTCCGCCCATTTTTGCTCCATATCACCACTGTGAATTTAAATAGTGTTTTTTTAAGATAAACCAAATATATCAATCTTTAAACGATAATTCGTTTATACCACCGTTTATTTTTAAGTGCATTTATACCACTTCGTCGTTAATAATTTAACGGCACGATGACATAGAAGTTTCGTGACATGACGGTACTAACGTGGATGCCTCACCAAAATATTGAAATATTGTGCATCTAAAGGGATTTGAACCCTAAAACCATACTAATAATTTAATGCTTAACCATTGGAACAACTTCAACTTTCCTAACCTAAAGCAGCTAAAAATGATGAGGTGAAAGCACGCAATATGCTCCTTGGTTACATTTTCTATTGTATGTGGAAGGTGGTCATCTTCTTCTGCGAGAATATACACGATCGTTCACATCGAAGAAGAGTTGGAAACAGCAAAGATAGACTACCTGCAGGTGGCAGTGGGGATGTCGAGAATGAAGAAGCTAAAGCTTTTGGATGGGTATATGCTGGACTTTGCAAAGGATTTGGAATCGTTGTTGTATTGGGTATATCTGCAGCAGCGAAAAGAAGTGAGAAATGAAGCAGTGAAATGCTTGGAGAGAAAAGAGAAAGAGCCACTTTCACATACTGTGCAACTAATGCCTCATGATTTCAGTTTCAGACTGCTTTTCCTGTCTGATAAACCCTCAATTCGTCGGAGGAATCCACCGTCTGACTCAGCTGCTTATTCCTCTTCCTCGCCGACAACTTCTGTAGATAAGTACACCGAAAAATAAATCGTGATCGTGAAGCAAATTAAGAAAAAGGATTATTATGAAATTTTGGGATTAGAGAAAATGTGTTCTATTGAAGAAGTTAGAAAAAATATAATTGAAAATTTTAGGTTTAGTCTCTAAGTTATTTGAAATTTTAGAATTAATCTTAATTGGAATTTTAGATTTTTAAAAATTTTATAAAAAGTAACAAAAAATTTAATGTAGCCTAACGGTTAAGTATTAAGATATATTTCCATGGGTCTAGGGTTTACATTCCCCCAACCATAATACTTAACAATTATTTTTCAAGCAAAACGATGTAGTTTTGTGTTTATTTTTTTTGGTACACATGAGAAAACAGAAGTCTAAAATCGCAACTCACTCGCTTCGTTCTTGTTGGCTCCTAACAACTCATGCATTTCAATTGGAGGCAACACAAAATGGAAAATTCTTCTTCTTGAGTAAGCGTAATATTCGCCAGCTTATCAGCACATTTATTCCCCTCTCTCCAGATGTGTCGAACTTCAGTAACCCATCCTTCCTTTATCATTTCTAAACAGTCATTGAACAGATCAGAATCTGAAAAATCATCCATCCTATCTCCATTGAAGACGTCCACAATCCATTTAGCATCCATCTCTAGGATCAGATTCCGTAAACCAAGACTTTTAGCCAAAATGAGACCCTGTCGAGCCCCCCAAATTTCCACAATCGAACTAGTAACCCTCCCTAGTCTCAACATGAAACCCGCTTTCCAGTCACCATTACTGTCTCGGATTAAACCACTTGCCGCAGCCAGTCCTGAATTCAATTTATACATCCATCAGTATTAAGAATCCAACCTCCATCAGGAGTTTTTTTCCATTTAATCCAACAAGGATCATTAACCACTCTGCTATACGGGTTTGACAAGACCTTCTCTAAATCCCTTGCAAACTGTTTTGCAGAATTTATAATTTTAAATTGATCAACGCTCATAACTTTAAAAATCCTTTCATTTCTGCTTTTCCGCAGGCCCCAAATAATAGCCATGAACAAATGACCCCATTCTAATCCATCCAACCCGACCTTCTTTGAAAGGCAATTCCTTTTCAACCAACTCTTGAATTCCATCGAACTAAACTGACAGTCTTGCTCCTTCGCTTTAAGCCCTTCCCAAACGAAATTAGCTACTCGACACGTCCGGAATATATGATCAATTGACTCTGTATCATCTCGACAAACTTTGCAGTTCGTATCCTGAGTCATGTTCTTCCTGCATCTAACTTCATTTGTATTAAGCTAGTCAAGGTAGGACAACCAAATAAAGAATATAATTCTTTCACTAGTTCTAGTTTTCCATACCCACGTAAGATTTTCTCCATAATGACTACCCATTGTCATTTTAGACATGGTTAGGTAGGCTGAAGAAACCGTGAACTGCCCATCCTTGGAGAAGCCCCACGTGTTTATATCTTGTTCATGTGATCATTTAACTGCGGTAACATAACTCTTTGGATTTCCATTCTTGTATCTTCAGAGATAATGTGCTGAACTCCTCGAAAAATCCAAGATCTGTCATCATCTATGTAACTAGCCACCTCTTCGTTCCTGCTCGGGTTATCTATTAGAGGATACAAATTTTTCAGTGGTTCATTGCCCACCCACCATTCCTGCCAGAACTTAGCTTGAACACCTGATTTAATCTGCCATTTACGCCCTTGTTTTATTAACTTGCGAGTTCCCAACAGGCCTCTCCAAGTGGACGAACAATTCCCTCTTTTATCTGCTTCCAAAAATCCTTTATGTTTTAAATACTTACCCTCCATCACTTTGCACCATATATTTTCTTGTCTGGTGAGAGGTTTCCAGCTGTTCTTTGCCATAAGAGCGATGTTCATTAACCTTGCCTTAAGAATGCCTAAACCTCCCGTCTTTTTGGCTTGACAAACTTTATCCCAGTTAACGAGATGATTATAGACATATTGGATGTCACCTCCCCACAAAAAAATCCGATTCAATATGTCCAGTTTATTATACACCGAAGCAGGAAGCACGAAAGTTTGCATCACGTGAATTGGAATAACATTAGAGACGCTTTGAATAAGAGTTTTTCTTCTCGCCATGGATAAGACACGCCCTTTCCAGCCTGCCAATCTTGTCATAACTTTCTCAATTAGGGGATTATAAATTCCTGAAGTAACCCTTGTATGAATTATAGGGACTCCCAATTAGGTTCCCAAGTTATCCGTAAGGGGATACACACAATTCACTTAAGTGATGGGCTGTAGTAGAACTAATATTTGGTGAGATAAAAAATTTTGATTTCAGGAGATTTACCTCAACCCCAGCTGCTCGGCTAAATTCATTGAGGCAATTTTTCATGTGCTGCATTTAAATGAGATCAGCTTCTGCAAACAATATGAGATCATCCGCAAAAAATAAGTGGCTTAACTCAATTCTACCCCTCGAGCTCTTAAACGGTTTCCAAATTCCCCTTTCAACTTTCTCCATAATGATGTGAGAGAGTCTTTCCATAACTAAAATGAACAAGTAAGGCGACAGCGGATCACCTTGGCGTAGTCCTTGCTCAGGTTTTAAACTCTCAGTGATTTCCCCATTCCATAATGGTTCAATTGTGCACGAAGAAATACAAAACATTATCGTCTCTATCAGTCTTGGAGGATTTTCTTGAGAAATTTCCAACTAACATTGCCATAGGCTTTCTGAAGATCAATTTTAGCAATCACCGCACCCTTCCTTCCTTTAAGTTTCATCATGAAATGAACTGCCTCCTGAATGATCAAGATATTATCCGACGTGCTTCTACCTTTAAGGAAACTGTTCTGGTAGGGACCAATCAGCCTTTGCAACATAGGACACAATCGACGAACAACAATTTTGGAGCAGTAAAATAGTTATCGAGATAAAAAAAATTGAATACAAAATATTTTTTTCATTTTTTATTAGAACTCGTCACCTCGACTTGATGAGTTCCATGCATTGTAGAAAATACCGTATATCTCAAAATAAAAATGTATATGCCCTATTTTGCAAAAAAAAAAAAATGGGGCTGCCCTATTGGGCCAAAAAAGCCCATGGAGAAAACCTAAAGAAGAAGCTTCAAGTTCATGGACAACAGGCCTGGAAAATCAAAACTATTGGACCCATGTTACCCAACAACCCTTTAGTTTTTCCTTTTCCTCCTAATTTATTGTTTTTCCTTCGATTTCTTTTTTTTTTTTTTTGTTAAAAAGGATAATAGAAATAATCCGGACTCAAGACTAAAGGCTACCAAACCTATCTTAAATGACCTTGACATTATACTAAACTTGTTGCAACATATCATAAACATCTTAGAGCACTAATTTAGGACAGGCAGAGATCATATATCCATATACGTAGGTAGAGATGGATCGAGGGTGATGGTAGGTTGATCGCTCTCTTAAAAATCTTAAATTCTTATGAAATTTAAATATTTTTTTATCTTATTTTCTATTGACAACATATTTTCATTCCTTAAGATTTTACAAATTAATCACTATTAATATAAAAATTTACACCCAGCCCTATATGCAAGTGGTTTTAGTAAAGAGAAATGTGACAATTGCCTGATCAGTAGAGAAAGGTCTTGAATTGCTTGGTCCTGCCCTCATATTCACGACCTTTATATACGTGCCTTTCTATCTTGAAATATCATGTATCTTCTAATTAATTATTAGTAAGAACAAGGGGCGACACCCCCATAGGCCTAAATAGAGTGAATATAATGTGTCATAGGAACACGATAATTAAGCTGGGCTGTGATGATTGAAGTCCATAAAAAAAATGTTATAATTCCTTGCGAGGAGCCGTAGATGAAGAGTCCCCGTGAGGGGTCTATGCGACTGCTCGTAACAAGGAGTTCTAGTGAGGTGTACGTATATACATGCAGGTGTTG